CGATACGGGGGCAAAAAAATGGGTGTTTACACGAATCATTCATCGATTGCACGTACATTGTAAGAGATCTAAGGCTTTAACCCGCGTGCATAGGTTTCAGGGAAATTGGTACTCTGGAAAAAAAGAAAGAAATCGGTACTTTAAGTTTGTATTCTTGTTTGCTTTACTTTCAGCAACTAAAAAAATGAATTCTATGGGAATAGATAACATTTGGGCCATGTATGACGATGACAATTTATTTTGTCTACTAGATTTACTTAAAATGATCATCAAACAAATATTTACAGTACTAGTATTTTGATTCATTTGCTTGAAATTTTTGTTTGTTTAATTTTTTCTCTCTCCTTACTAGGTTTTCAGTTCCTAGGTGACGTTAAACGAAGAATTAATTTCAGACAGCCTGATTTCATGACTTTTTATTTTTATAATGTAGAGTCTAGAGGAACAGTTTTTATTATCAAGAAATTCTTCATTGTTCCATTAAAAACGACCTTATGTTTTAAGAATATATGAAATAAATTAGAACGTTTGTAATAACATTTCCTGTAATAGACGTCAAGATCTCCTGCAAACTGCGTATTTTATTGGTTTAATAATAAATATTGGATCTGATGGTGATAATTTTACGCTTTAAGCGACACGCATTGTGAAAAGGAACGTATAGACACGCATGTCAGATTATTAGATTACTTTGTACCTCTTTTTACAGCTAGAAAGTGTTTGATTATGTTTTCAAATTTGTGAGATTTGGTAATTTGATACTTACATATATATTTTAATTGTTCAATCATTCCAAGTTATGCAATCCAGGCCAGGTCAGGATTGACAATCTGCCGAAGACAATGATTGTGAACTTTGACCTGGACATGGTTTTGTAAAAATTAACATGAAATGACCCATACTGGATATTGAGATGGTCATGATTATTTTTATCATGACTTTAGGATCCCCTGTGGTTTTCCACATAATACATAATATATATGTGTTGAAAATAAAAAGAAAATATCGCATCGAATTAAAATGAATCAATGGTATTTTGATGAAAATTTTTCATAAGAATGGCAGTTTATGGTCTGATTTTGGAGCAAAAACCAGCTTTTGAAATGTCAGAGTTTTGAATGAAGATGTTTTATTACATTTATTCTCATCGTTGAGTGATATTTGGGTTTAATAGCTCGACTGGAGGCAAAATTTTATGTATATTTCAGAATCCTTAACTTCAATTAAATCAATTAATTGCTAAAATTGTCTGACATTTCTAAGTTTTACAGAATATTTGATAATTCATGAGATTTTGGACTGTGTAGTCTTGTTTTGTATTAAAAAAAAACTTATAGAATTAAAAAGCTTTTAAAGCATATATACATGTATGTTATTCGATGCAAAATTTTAAATGCTTTGTGTTCTCTACTTTCAACTTCAATATTGCACCGTTGGTGTCATTTGGGGTGTCATGTCCTATATCTTGTAGTAGTTTCGTTGATTAATTTTCATTTTAAAGTTGATCCTGTAATCATTTTCATCTTTAGATTGAAAATTAATAAACAACAGCAACAATTTAAGTTATTATGTTTGTTTGTTTGCTTTTTAAAAATATTATACAAGTAAAACGTTAACAGTAAACTTGTCTTATCCAGACACCACTGGTTCCAAAGAAATTGGCCGGTTTAGACAACATTCCGGATTAGACAACATTTCAAACAATTGAATTAACTAAAAGGGACTGAAGGCTTACAACATATTAGGCAAGATTTCTGAATACACAACACCCATATTAGACAAGTTTCATTATGCATGTACATTAAATCTCCCAGTTGATTCGATACGCAGGAGCATGCTCCACTTACGAACAATTTCTAAAAGGAGGTAAGCTATTGACAAAAAAGTTGATGAAACATGGATATCAACAGTCTCGTTTAAAGTCATCATTTCGCAAGTTCTATGGTCGATGCAATGACCTTGTCAGGAAATACAATCTATCATTAAGTCGAATGCTGGCTGACGTTTTTGATACTAATTTTTAGGCCATTATATTATCTAAACACTGAATTGTCAATGGGTTTTTTTCTCCATTTGCTCGAACATGACAATGAGCACACGGCGGGTGTGTCCAGTCGACAGGGGACGCTTACTCCTCCATGACACCTGATCCTACCTCTGATATATTTTAGAGGTCTGTGTTTTTCTGCTCCGGATTTGTTTTGTTTCGATGGACTTTTGAGCTTGATTACTGTTCGTTATTTCCATATTTCATTCCCACTATGCTCTTTTAAATTATTACTCCACATTTATCCGAAAGATTTCAGAAAAAAATTGTTTAAAAATTTATTTCTCTATAAATTCTATATTCTATTACTTGTAACACAGTTTTTTGAATTTATACGTCCTAGCGTTGTGGACACCAAAAGTTATGCATGTTCAATTTAATACTTGAAATAGAGTATAGCCAGGTCATCTTCGCAAGCAATCTACTCCACTCCTCGCACAAACTGTCCTAAAATGGATTTTAAAACCAGTCTTAGATATGTACCTATTTCCGTTTTTGTTTGCTGAATTCATGCATAGGCGCCTGCAATTGAGGACATCCCCTCTAAACCCCCACCCGCACCCCAACGTGACTTTTTTGACTTCATTCCATGCATGCACCATCTTGTATTCCATACAGGAAGTTCGAAAAATTACCTATTTAGTGTGTGGAGTTTCATCTCCAAATTTTCAGAGAAAGGAAAGGAAAACATGCAGGCAAAAATGAACAACAAAAATTGTGTGTGTAAAAGGGGGGTGGTCTCAAATCCCAGACAAGCATGAGGGCATGGGGAGCGGGATAATAGAATAATACGGGTTAAATTTTCCAGGAAAGGAATCATAATTTTTCGAAATGTGAATAACAAGTTTTGAATACAAATATAAGAAGATTTGGAATATAGATTACGAGTTTGATCATATTTAACACAAGATTTGTAATAATGAAAAGGCAAAAGTCTAATTTCGATGAACATTTTTTTTCTTAAGATTTTAAAGTTACTTAACATAAAATTTGCTCTAGAACATAGGTTTCAAATGTGAGGAAGCCTATAAGTACAAGTAAAAAAATTCTTTTCCACGATTTTATTTCAGCCCACTGTCTGATTTTCCGTAACTACTTCCGACTGTTTTTTCCGCGATTGGTTTCAACTTTTAAATTTTGTTATCTCCTTTATTTGATATTTCCTTTCCGCGATTATGGAATGCCACGGGTAGTGTTTGGCATCAAATGGTTGCTGAAATTTACTTGTATTTTCCTGTATTTCCTCATACATTTCTACTAAGTAGTACTTAGTATGAACGAACGGATTTGATGAATTTCGCACAGGCACTTGGGGTAATGCCCCCCCCCCCCTTTCCATTTTTTTTCTTTTTAAATCTGGGGTCGAATTCACCTTTTCCCTATTTTTGTATTCTAATATGCACTATAAGTTATCAATTATGTAACTGAAAGAGTTACATTATTGATAACATACAGTGCATATTAGAATACAAAAATAGGAAAAAGGTGACTTGACCCCCGATTTTTAAAGAAAAAAAATGTAAAGGGGGGGGGGGTCCATATCCCATGTGCCTGTGCCTGAAGTCATGGAAATTATTCATAGTGAAACAAATCGTCGTATCCAATGTATAATATATGATGGACACACCTATAAAAAAGTCAATTCTTTAAAAATAATGGCAATATTTCTTACCGATGCAGGAAAGGAAAAGTAATATGTAATGTATACATGTCGCAAAATGCAAAGCCACAACTACAACTGCATGATGCAAAGGGAGTGGTTGTGGTAAGAATTTTACCTGGCTAACGGAATAGGTAATAAACATGTTAAAATAAGTCGTGGAAAATCAAAAAATATAATCGCGGAACAGCAGTATGATTTGTAGCGAAAATTGTAGCAAGATTTTGTTTTGTTTTCGGAAAAGCAGTGTCGAAACGAGGAAAATTGGAAATGCGAAAAAATAACACCCCACTATCTCATAATTGCAAGATAATTATCTCGTAAATATGAGAAAAAGTCTCGTAATTGCGAGAAAGGAGAAAATTATGAGCGTAATTATGAAAAAATTATCTCATAATAAAGAGAAAAGATTTTGTTATTACGACTCGAGATAATTATCTCGTGATATACATGTAGATAATGGTCACATCATACATGTATTTCTCTATGAAAAAGTTTTTCTTCGTTCTTTTTTTAATATGCTGTTTAAAATTGAAATTCGGCGTTTATGTATAAAGTATAATGAAAACTCACCGATTGAATTAGTACTTAGTATCGTTTTTTGAAAGGGGTGGGGTGGTTAGAGAAATATCTGACAACTCACCAAGAAAATCTTTCACTAGAGAGAGAGAGAAAAAAAAAATTATCCAAACTTAAAAATCCCATTTCGGTGGGAGGGGGTTTAACGTTTAGCAAGAATTTTCTTTAAATACGTCGATAGGGGAAATTTTGAAAATGCTATAACAGAATGTGTGTGTGTGGGGGGGGGGGGGGTCGGCCTTCAATAAACATTATCATAGTGAACAGGTGAATTAAAGATGATGTTGGGAAAAGGGGAATGCAGCTCCCTCCCAATAATTTGTGTCTGTCAGTACATCATAAATTTAAAAAAATATATCAGAAGGTTATTCTTATATTTACATTTTTCTTTATTCTCTGAATATACTTACTAAAATCGTTTTGGATTACTAAGGGATAACAAGTTTTGATAAAACTATTCTTCTGGTACATTTTCCCGTTACCAAGTCAAACGCTTCTAAGACTAAGAAACGATTACATAAGATGAACATTAAAAAAATAAGGTTTGCGGGGGCAACCCTTTTCTAAAGCCGATAACCTTCTTTCCCCTATAACACGCCTCTATACATATAGAAATTTGATCCGCGTACAGTAGGCCTATTGTTTATTGAAAAAGACTATACTTTGAGCTCAGCCAATGAAAAAAGTTGTTTCTTGGCTATATTGATAGTTAAAAGTTGAAAACATGGCCGATCAGGCGAAGGGTAGTCTGCTAACAAAGTCTTTGAAAAAATGGTCCAGAACGAAAACCAAGGTAAGATTTTATGTGTCCGGACGAAGACTGCTTGTAATTATCAAGTGCTTGTAAATCCACTTTATTTGATTGAGCTGAAAGCTGCAGAAAATGTCCATTAGAGTAACAGGTGCGTTTGACATCCATATACTCGAAAGTGGGCAGTGTTTATATCTTGGTGACTTCACGTGGGAATATGTGTATTTCAAGAATTTAATGTTTACGAGTTCTACCATACTTAAACGTATTTTTCAAGCGTGGGTTTTTAATTGGTATTGTGTAAATGATCTTTAAAAAATCATTAGTTATCTGCAACATATTGATTCTAAGATGGTTCCATACTGTTTGGAAATGATTGATCAGGAAGTACATCTCACCCAGCTAATTTTACATGTGCATCTAATGTGCACTAATATACATTGAGAATCTGGCATTATTATGAGGTTGTGTTAAGGTTGTGTTCTTTAAACTCAGCTTTAACAGTAACACATATAGTAATATTTTGTTGGTTACAACCTGACAGAATGGTGCATCAAGATTCATTAATGTGCACTTAACACAACTCTGATTCATTAATGTACCTTGTATACTTCCCTAGAAAACACTAACCAAAAAAAAAATCATTTTCAGATATCATCTGACATTGATGAATAAAGCATAAACATTTATTACTTGGCATTTTTTGTAAGAGGGCCAGCATTTAGATACTGTGTTGTCCGAAATCAGGGTGAACACCATGCAGGCTGTAAATATTGTACAGGCCCAACCTCAAGGCCTAAAGAAACAAGCATCAAAAGTGTGTGTTTGCATAGATGTGAAAAACTGTCCTTGTTTGCACTTAGCTGCAAGGATAAAAATGACTAGATTTTTGTGTATTAGGGTGAACATGGTAGCCATGCAATGACAATATCCATAAATCATTCTAACTGATGTTACAGGTATTGCTGCAGCAGTGTTATGACTTGGAATAGAAGTTTTGTGTCTTGGTTAACAAGATAAATTTTTTAATCACCATGGAATTTTATACAATTTAATTTTTTTCTTACATTAAAATGCAGGTACATTTTGAAAAGATTTCAAATATTTAAATACATGATTGTAAGATTTGAGCATCGCATTAAGAATTGAGAGTCATGCACTAAGATTACAAACAGATTGACTTATTTAATGTTGCTCGATCATCTCAAATTTACATGCTCTCAGGGCAAAACTAATGCAAGAAACAAAAGATGCTTTTAATACTTGAGAAGGCATGTGATATATGTATATGCACTTACAAACGATTGCTTAAAAAAAATTCTAAATGTTTTTTCCTCCTTATTTACATCCTGTAAACATTGACAGACAAAAAATTTGGTATTAATTAAAAAAATTGTGGGAAATACAGCACTAAATTAAATTATGCAAATGTTTCATATTATTTCTAGATTTATGTCATGCAATGAGGTTCGTGATACATATATGATGCTGAATTAACAAAACATGTGATACACATATTGTGTGTTAAAAGACATTGTTCATCTTTAACATGAATTCTATAAACAAATTTGTAATTAATCTTGTACTGACACTAGACTAAGTATGCAAAAATTGTGTTTCCTAATTCCTATAGAGACAATGACTCTCAGTGACAGTAAAAGACAGTGTGTGCATATATTGCTTTGTGCACATTCACACAGTGCAAACAAGGATTATAAGTCATCATCATGTTTTATAATTCATCTCCATTTGTATGCAGAACAAAGTCATCTATTCTACTACTGTAGTAAAAAAGAAGACGCATGTCAATGTGTAGTAAGTTTGCCTGTCATATGTGCTTGTCCACTTATGCATGTGTAGAACTTGTTTAGTTGTCCGTTAACTTGTACGTAAAGGTCAGTTCATGACTGAAAGTGTAATACACGACATATTAGAAGCAGGAAGCTTTGTAGATGATCAAAATATCGATTTCTAACACAGACAAATGTGATAGAGTTGGTATTGCAAGTTTAATATTGGAAACCATACTATAGAATTTACAGTGAATCCATTAACAGGATACTTGAACTGAAATTCTAGGACTATAAAAACAATGTATTTTGAAAATGTTAATTTCAAAAGAAGTAGAACGATTCTGAACATTGAAATGGTTAAATTTCAGAAAGAGTAATGAGTACATGTATTACTAAATAGACAGACAAGAGAATCTGTGATGCATATAAAATCAGAAAAAATAAAGATCATATATGAATTTCCAGAACATCTATTCAGCTCTGGACAGTGTCATATAGCCCAGTGTCTCTTCAACTAAGAATCAAGATGAATTGTTTTAAGATAATGTTATATATAAGGGAGATATGTATATATTTGTTTCATTGACCCTGAACCCATGCATTCATCCATTATTAAAGTTCGATGCAATCTGTTCCACTTTCCTATATATATTACAAAGACATAATATCCCTCACATTCTCTGTGACATTAGAAGATATAGAATGTAAACTTGGATAGATTTAAAAAGGGATTTTATTGTATTGCTGCATATAGGATTCTTTGACCTACATACCATCCATTCATTAAGATTTAAGGTTATTAACTTTACAACGTGTCAAGATTTTTTGCCGTACCATTTTAAATACCCATGTAAACAAAATCTGCTTGTTTGAATATTAATGCTATCTTTTGGGATTTTTTTTTTCCTGAATCAAATGTCAAAATGTGCTTAGTATCATGTGAAAATAAGCATAAATACCTTGTTATTTTTAGAATATAAAAAAGGGCTAGTTTAGAGTTGTCTGGACAGTCATCTTAATGTTTAACATTTAAAATTTGAAGTGTCTTGCTCAGTCGTGCAACACAGTACATAAGATTGAAATGACAGAATTCAGGGGGTTAATTATATGTATAAAATTTGAGGTATGCATACATTAAAGAATTTACCTGTCCAAATTTAACAAGAATTTTTTACATCTACCCTTCTAACTGGCTCATTTGTGATACCTATTTTAAATATACCCCGAAGTTCACTCACAATTCTTCACCTGTGTTTTTTAGTATATGCTGTCTGTGAAGTTTAATTCAGTAGATTTATGGAGCATATTGGATGAATAAATGTCGATAATGTAAATCTTTGAGTAATATAAGGTGTAGATAAGTTTTCTTAAAATTAAATGTTAAATTATCATCAAATATAAAGTTCTATAATACAGAGAGTATGAGTACACCTCATCCAGTACCAAGCATCTAAACTTTATTATAATTTAGGCAAACACTAGAGATGTAATACTAAATAGTATATGCATATATGCTTTTAAATTTGGTGTCAAATGTAACAGGAAAGGAGAAGATTGTGACAGACCAGCAGGGATGGGGTAATCGTAATCGAGTAATCGTAATCGATTGTAATGATTACTTTTTTTCAAGTAATCGACAGTAATCTGTAATCGAAGAGATTTTCGATTACTTGTAATCGTAATTTAATCGATTACAGCTAAAATTTTCAATGTAATTATAATTACTTTTTCGATTACTTTCGATTATTTTATGCATAAATGGATGTTATTTTGGAGAATTATTTCCTGTCATTCACACACAAATATCAAATATAAACAACCTAGTGTAATGTTTGGATTACCTAACTTTTATTATCATAAGTTTAATAATGTTCTCAATAAAATTTGCATTATAGACCTACTGGTCTAGTATTAAATAATTCAGAAGTGTATTTCAACGATTTATTAATAAAAAATATAGATTTTTGGTATGCATTTTACATTTGACCCATAGTCCTCTTGCTGCATGTCCTTTTTCATATTTCAAATATTGAAAAACTTTGTGGTTGTAATAGAAAATTATAAATAGCAAAAACAGATTTAAGTGCTATATTAAATATAAATGATTTGGTAAATAAACTACATTGTACTCGAAAAAAAGAAGATGGAAATACTTATTCATATCTGAAAATGTTTAAACAACTTCAAACTTGTTGTTTTAGTAACTTTAAAATTTGCAAAATCATTCTCATGTTTTCATTCAAAATTGTAAGGTTTCTTTTGTATCAGTGAGGGGTTATAAGTGTCTGTAAGAGAGGGAGTAAGTGTCACTGTGTTTGCTTATCTTGGCTAATTAATTGACTGAGACATCCCTGACTTGCAGATAATGAGGTGTAAACTGTGAACTACCTAGTGTTTAACTTTTATTATTCATAGTTCTATTGAAGACAAACAATATTATCAAAACAATTAATAGCTCTCAAAACACTTATTTCAATACAGAATGAAATTGTGCTATTAGTTTAATTACTTAAAGACACATTTGATTTACATGTTTGTTACTAAGAGTTCTAATTTACCTATTTTTTTAAAGAAGACACAAGAATGTTTAATGTGTACTGTCAACATATGGGCAGCCCAAATACTTCTAATGAAGTTATTCACAATAAAATTATTTTATAATAAATAATTTTTGCAACAAGTCAAATCTGAATATGGAGGTTCAGATCCAAGGTTGAAAGGAATAATTAATTCCTTGACATATTTTATTATAGGAATCATGTCTCCACTTTTCATGGTACAGAATCCCTCATTTGGGCATTTAGTGAGAATGTTAGCCAGAATAAAACCTTAAAAGCTGCAGGAATGCTTAACACATTCAAACTTCAGTGGATATCATCAACGTTACCATTTAAATATTGCTTTGATATTTGAAGGGATAAAAACTTGGGAGTAATCGATTATTAATCGATTACATCTTCCAAAGTAATCGATTACAATCGATTACAGGACAAAAATGTGTGTAATCGATTAATAATCGATTACACGAAATTCCTCTAAGTAATCGATTACATTTTTCAGTAATCGTGCCCATCCCTGCAGACCAGACCAGGATTCGAACCCGGGCCCCCTGAATCACTAGTAGGTAATCTACTAACTGAGCTATCTGGCCACCGGCGATCAAACCTGTCTGTCTGCTATATTCCTCCCTCCTTAAAGGTCTTTTTTATTCCAAGTATAATGTACCCATGTATACAAAGAAAATTAGACTATCTTATATGAAATAAGAAATAAAGATGTTCTTTGAATCATTCTATTGATGTCTTGCTTCAAACTTTGTTAAGTCATTAATGGCCAGTGCACAATTAAAGCAATTGAAATTACTGGATACAAAAAATATTTATTTTATACCAAAGGCCTGAGTAGTTGTAATAATGAATATCACAATATGCATCATCAATATCACAATTACATGCACTCAACTGTAAAGTGTATGTATCTCAGGATACTATCTATACAATTAATGAAATGTACTGTTTAAAATAACTATTAAAGAATATCAGTGATTTAACAGTGAGTGAGAGAATAATCTCTCTCCAGTCTAACTTTATTTCTGTATAATATATATAGTGCTAAAATGTTCATTTTTGAAAAGTTAACGTTACTTGTATACTGGTAATATTCTTTTTTGTATCAGATACATGTACAAGTATGCTCAATAAATAATGTCTGACAATCATATAAATTTAGTTGCGCTCATATGTATTATTGACACTCCTATAATTTTATAGAAATGAAGCAAGCAATGCAAGTCTCAATTTCCTGTATATATAATAAGTTACAAGTTTTTGAATTGATTTTTTGTTTAGGATAAAAACACTTAGGTAATAAGTCAGGATTTCAGAAGATTTTTTTTTTTGAATTGATGTCTATACCAGTAGTTTGGAAAAAGAGTATTATAACTTATATTGAAAAACACCACACTTCATGACAAAGAGATGATGTATGTGGCATAAATGCTTCCATTTTTATTGCAGTGTATCTGCCTTGACACTGTAAGCAGCCACAAGCATAAACAATGTTGACCGACCTCTTGTTTTTATACAAAATATAGATGACACAAACTGAAGCTGTACACATTGTTGTTTTATTCTGTCCTTTTGTGGAATTTGGTTTAGAAGTTTCTATTTAAAGGGATTTTTATTTTAAACTCTAGATGGCTTAGTATAGAAATTATGATATGAATAAAGGAGTTAAAAAATAACAGAAAATAGATCGTGTACTGGTGTCCTATCTCCATTAATCTACTCTGACAAACGCTAATAATTAAAAAGATCTCGAAGTGACCTTAAAATAAGGTCAAGGCCAATTTTATAGATGTAAAAGAAAACATTCTAGTTAGCTGACCAGCATAATTTGACATGCATCTTATCTCTCGATTAAAAGAGAGATTATAATATGTTGGGCAGGTTTTCATTCCTTCATTAATTGATGTGCAGATTGTATATGAAATTAACGTACACCATATATGAAAATAAATATTCCTAATTGAAAGGAATTAAATTATAAACATATCACTAATAAACAAAACAAATAATTTTCTTTTTTTCCCCTGATACGTGGTTAATTAAGATATACTAGTTTTACAAAATGTCAGAATATCAGATTGCTGCTATAACTAAGAATTCTTCATATAGGTGTACAAATTACTTTGCTGTGCTTACAGAAGCAGTGAATGGACCTCATAATGTATTCTTTGTAAACATGAACCAAATGAAATAGCTATGTACATGTAGGTGTCTATTTAGGAGTTAGCCTGCCATGCCCCTGGGTTATTTTTGCCTTTTGTGACTGAGTATAGGGGACAAATGAAGTTTTGTGTTGCAGTTTATAGTCTGTTTCTATATATTTGTTTGGTAAGATCGAGCTAGTTCACTTTTTTTTTTTTTCGGAAACATCCTGTTGGGATATTAATCTCCTTATCTCTATTGTCTGTTTCCTCATGATAGAAATAACACTTTGAAATGTGTTTTGAAATTAATATTTATTTTTTAAAGATCATTCATTTTTTGTGGGGGTTTAATTTTTGTTGTTTATGAGTTTTGAATTTAGAGACCCATAAATGCATGTCCACCACGAAATGTAAAATGTCATACCGGTATACATAACTACATTTTTTCATCCACGAAATCAAATTCCAAGAATCCATAGCTTTTTTCATCAAACCACGAAAATTTGACCCATGAAAATGTGATTTTAGTGATTGAAATCGACCAAAGGAGATAGAGGACCATTCATTGAATTACATGTATATGTATGAAAAATACATGTTCTAAACTTAAGTTAGATTTTAGTGTGTCTGTAATTGTACATTGGGCAATTAAACCAGCGCTAGAGCTGAAACGATTCACCGAAATATCGATATTGTTCAACATTACTGCTTGGTTCACTGTTCGATTCACTATCTTGATTTTTCGGTTCGGTATGTTTTTTTTTATTATCGAGTTTTGTTACTCCTTGAAAAAGATCAGGTTCGACGTCATTTAATAGTTTGACACACAAAAGGGAGAAAATTTCGACACGGAGAAAGTTTCAGAGCAGGCTGCCACTGCTAGTATTGACACGAACGAAGTGCTCTTTTAATCTACAGAAGCACATGTAGTGCTCTTTATTGTATCACCACTTTTTACTTGCCTTAATTTTGAAATCTGAATACATGTTTTCTTTAACCTTATGATTTGTTTCTTTTTAAAAATGTATCGTATTGAAAAAATTGAATTGTAACACAAGTATTGCGAAACGTACCGTATCATGGAGGGGGCGTATCGTTTCAGCCCTAACCAGTGCATGAAAACGTTCATGATGCAAACTCAGTATGTATTTTAAATTGCAACAGACCAAATACTGGTATCAGTCACAGATTTAGATTTTGTAAAAAAAAAAAAAAAAAAAAAAAAAACCCACCCACCTACCTACCCACTCTAAAAATTATAGGTTGGCAACTGCAAACAAAGAAATTTTTAAGCTTGGCCTTACATGTACGATGTAGATGTATCAATTGTACAGTATATGAATGGGTTTTCATGTATTAGATTTTAAGGAAATCATCCATGTTGACAGTATTATAATGTGTATCAAAGGGATGTACATGTATTTCATTTCATAAGAATCTATGTTTCAAAGTCAAACATTTATATTGTAATTCGATCTTCAGTAAATTGTGTTTATTTATATTTTTTAATTTTTGCAGGTTTTACAAAATCTTGGGAAAGCAGAAAAAACATTTGATGAGAGAATTGATGAACATGCCCATAAATTGGAGAGACAACAGGTATTACCATGATTACATATAGACTGAAATTAAATGGTATCTATACAAGATATAAAAGAACTTCAGCAGGGAAAATGTCATCCTCACAACGTCAGGGGTCCTGAGTCAACACGTTGCCAGCAACGTGTTGACTCAGGACCCTGCCGGCCGCCCTGATGTTGTGAGGATGGGAAATTGTTATTGAATTGACGTAGTGGACTGACTTATCAAAAGTCTTTTTTGCATTCTCATGTTTAAATTAGATGCTGGACTAGAGTACATGAATAATCTTTTTAAAATTATATTTTTTTATGTGGGTATCACACTTTGATAGTATTAACACACATTAATCAACCTTTCTGTACTATGAAAAGTGAGAAGTCAGAGAATGAATTGAGCAGCATATTGATATTAAATATTTTGCAAAATACATATGGAAAGAAATTACATTCACACATATCCTTACTATTTATATATAAACTCAAAGTAATGATGAATTGCGTAAAACTTGACACAAAGTGGGATTAGAAATCTGATGCTTGTTAAATATTATTTAATATACACATATATGTATAAAAGCTTATTTGTTGTCCTGTAGTGCATTATCTTTGAACTGTGAATTTCATTGTTTGTATCTTTATAATCTTGCCCTATAGGAAGTCGCAGCCAAACTACATAAGGAGCTTAAAGGATACATCCATTGTGCCAAAGGTGTGTCTTGTTTATATCAAAGAAACTGGCCACACTTACAATAATCGAATTACAGAATTAAGACATGAGAATTCTAATGAAAAATCCAAATATTAACTATAAAAAAAAAAATCCTATCCCATGTTTAAGGTATAATAAATGTTTTTCATGACATTTTTAAATATTTAATTGTATTTAAAAAAAAATAGCTTATCAAATATCTATGGAAAATAAAAATACTTCCAACCATGTTTATAAATAGACTTGTTTGTTTTCCATAGCCATGCAGGCAGCCTCTAAGAATCTGTACCAGGTTTTACAGGAAACGTATGAGGAAGAATGGGAGGAGTATGAAAATGTAAAAGCCCAGCTCAATGTAGGTCAATACTGCTGTTAATTAAATTAAAATTATATTAATCAATGTGTATAAGTAGGATTCATGCAGTGCTGAATAGTACATTATATTTAGGCTGGAACATCTGGCATACATTTAGTTTATTAATTTCAAATTAAACAATTTGATAAGTATTTGAAGTAGATTAGTCGATTCATTATGATATTTGTGTATTTTGCTTGAAAAGATGTGCTTGTAAATATGAAGTGGAAATTTCAGATTATTTTATATTTTGACGATTCTACATTTGATAATTGCATTAAACCTGTGTATTTTTTTTGTTTTGTTTTCAGTCTCTGGAATTGATGTGGCACAACTACACCCAGAGTTTACATGACAGTGTGAATGAACCATTGAACAACTACATGAGCCATTTCCCAACTCTCCGAGTCAGTTCTCTATCAAATCTTTATGTATAGAACACAGCAATTTACATAATACATTACACATGTAGTGCACTCTCAAATTGAAAACTTGTTCCATGTGCCATTTAGTATATTTTTTTAGGGGGGGGGGCATGGGGGGATTGGTAGGAAACTTTTACAGGTATACATGAAGTATGGAATTAAGGTCTGATAAGTGTGCATGTAAATGCAGTTATTCCAATTTTAGATTAGACAATAGAAATTACTTACTGGTAATAACCTTTGTTTCTTCCTAAATACATGTACCTACATGTTCTGTAAAAATTGTTTCCTATTTTTCTGAATGTAGGTACCAGTACATAGATTTGCTGACTGTAAATATATATTTAGCCCTACTTCTTTCCAGGAAATATTCTGCACATATAAGTACACTTATATAAATATTAATATGATTGTTCCAGTTATTGTGTGTTCATTTTTCATTATGGATATACTCAAGTATTCTTAGCAGTCCTCAGACTGGGATAATTTTTTTTTGAGAAAAAATGTTTAGTGTTCAGTGTATATACCCCAGAAATTTAAAAAAAAAAAAAAAAAGAAAAAAAAAATGTTTGATAAATTATCTGAGCAAATTATTGAAAGAATTTAAATACATCAAGTTATTAACATGCTATTAGAAACATGTATATGTAATTTACATCTATTATACATGTACATATATTTAGCTTGTTTATTTATGTATAATTCTTTTTAGAAGTAGAATTATTAAGGAATTAAGGAAAAGTAATTTCATTTTTAAATTATTGCAGCAAAGAATCTCAAAAAGAGGAAGGAAGTTGACAGACTTTGACAATGCAAAACACAATCTTGATGTGCTGGAAAATGCAAAGAAAAAAGATGAGACAAAAATCAAAAAGGTACAATAAGTTAATTTGTTGCCTTTAACATACACACATTTAAGTTTATCAGGAGGATCAGTTCTTTCAAATTCAGAGTATGAGTTTTTAATTTATTTTTTAAAAAATCTAAGCAAAAATTTGGCAAAAATTCTTGGGGTTATCCTATAGTACTTGAGATGGTAAACACTTTTATCTAAGATTTGGTTTTTATTTTAATTTACCACTTCATGATTTTACCAGGACATATTAAGCACATTGAATTATAAATTTGGTGATCAGTACAAGATTTTAACCTTTGAACAGGATTGAAATCGGTTTTTCTTAAGTAACTGGAAGAAAGATTTTACAACTTTGTATTCCATTTTAGTCCCTTATTTCTTTGTTCATGAATTAAGAAAGATGCACAAAAATTATCAATGTTCCTTTCTATGTATGAAAGGAATGATTTGAAACTCATTTCAATCATTGGCAATCAATGTTGTTGATTTATTGTATATTATCTTATGTATATACATGTAATTCGTACTTGCAGGCCCATGAGGAGTTGGAAGAAGCGAAGAAAATATATCAACAAATAAATGATGAATTAAACAGTGATCTTCCTATGTTCCATGAAAGGTAGAAGAATGATATCATTTTGATATATTTACATTCCACAAGTATTTTCCTTATAAAGTGTGAGGAAGGTTTGACATTCAAAACACCATAATACTGATGGGGAGGTCAAAAGGTTAAGATATGGTTTTTATTTTGACGTCACAAACATTCAACTTAGTGAAAGTACAACACCATAAGCGAAAAACAAAATTCGCACTCTCATTGAATAGTAACCACTGCTCTTTCAATGTAGCTGTGTGTATCATTTAAACAGGCATAATATACTAGTATTTTAAGAAACAGTATTTTATCAATATGCAGTGCTAAACATTAACTTACATCCCTCGAACAAGTTGCCAACAAATGTTACTTGTGCGATTGCATTGTCAACTTGTCCGACTCTGAACTGATATACAATAAAGAAATTTGTAGAACTTAGCTTTCAAAAATAAAGAAGTAGTTATAGATACTTTTAATTGATAGAGATTTGTGAATCATATTAAAATAACTGACAGTAGCACTGTAACCTGGACGCAATCACCCTCTTCAGTTAACAGTATCCAGTGAAATGAGACTGACCCCTAAGAATAAAAACTTTTTTGGTCATTGAATTTTGTAGGATTTAAAAAGAAATCCCATATTTACAATATTTCATAAAGGTAAAAGAGTCATTTGTCTGATTGGAAAGATGTGTCTGAAGATTGACTTGTCCTGTCATAAAATGAACTGATGATGGACAATTGGATAAATGTTAATGTTGAGCCCTGATCTATCATAAAATTTTAAAATGTAAATATAAACATAGAATTGTAAATATTGGACACGAAGTATGTCATAACATGGATGGCTATGCAGACAAATTTTCATAACACATGTTATTCAATTTGTCAGCACAGCCATTCATGTTTTGATATGCTGAAGGCCAAAATTATTGATTCAGTGCTTAAAATTCACATAAGTTTTGGTGTTATAATGAGTACATGCATGGGTTTCATTTTTCAAGTTGATCTGTAACATTTGAATTCCATTTCTAATTATTGTATTTTGTTTATGTTTTGTAGTCGTGTAAATTTCTATGCTTCCACATTCCAATCTTTGTTTAATGCAGAAGAAATATTTCATGGAGAGGTCACAAAAGTGAGTAATAGTTGAATTACATGTATAATGTTTAGTGTTGTCTATCACATGTGTGTTTAGTGGTGTACCAGACTCTATCACATGTAGGTTTAGTGGTGTCTATCACATGTATGTTTAGTGGTGTCCCAGACTCTATCACATGTAGGTTTAGTGGTGTCTATCACATGTTTGTTTAGTGGTGTCTATCACATGTATGTTTATAGTGGTATCTATCACATGTGTGTTCAGTGGTTCTATCACATGTACATGTATGTTCAATGGGGTCTATTACATGTACATGCATGTTCAGTGGTGTCTATTACATGAACATGTATGTTCAGTGTTGTCTATTACATGTAGAAGTATGTTCAGTGTTGTCTATTACATTTAAGTTCAGTGGTCTAAGATGTTCCACTAAAAAATGGCTATTCAAGATTAATATTTATTATGTGTCTCGAAACCATGAAATGTCCCTCTTGAGTGATTCTCTACTAAAAGTTTCTGAATACAATTGTATTTCAGATAAGTAGTGAAATAAACAACATTGCAGAGAAACTTGCCAGGAACAGTGAACAACTAAAATTCCAGCCCCGCCCCCTCAGTTTTCAAGTGGCAGCAGAGTAAGTTAAGCATGTTTATTGAAATGTCTTTTGTCATACAGCATGCGAACTTTTAAGAAAAGTTATATTTTCAATCTACTTCTACAAAATACAGTCTAACCTTGTTATCTCAAACTTGATCGGACAGAGAAAAAACTTTTAAGATATCCAAGGGTTTGAGATATGGAGGGTAAAATACTTAAGAAATTCGTTGTTAGGACTTCCCAATCACTTCAACATGCATGTATCCTTGGTATTTGAGATATCTGTGTTCAAGATACCTAAATTCAACTGTACATTATTGCAAACCCTGCATAATCCTTTCTCTTTTAGACATTGTTCAGTTATAAACATTTCTTCTTTCTCCTGGGTATTTATCCTTTTCTACCAATAAATCATCATAGAGCTATTGAAATTAATACTTGAGGTAGTATCAATTTTGAAGCCTAGTGGCCATGGTTATGAAATAATTTGCATTTGTCAGGTATAGGTCGTAAACTAAGGAGAAAGAAATCAACTTTGGATTTGGAAAGTATAAAATAAATTTGCTAATTAATATGTGATAATCAACTGGAGCTAATGAATTTCAAATTTAAATCATGTGCAATTTAAGAAATTCCTGCTAATTTTATATAAGAGAATGTACTTAACAGTTTTTAGCCGGGCTTTGATCAAAGCAAAATCCTGGCTGTAGGCATGCTGATCGACTGCCTTACTATAAATAGCACAATATTCGGAAAAGTAAACAAAAAGCCGAACAGCGTCAAAGCAGACGCTTCTGATAAACAAAATAGTCACATAGAGAGACAATACTTAAATATTTTAACATCTCAATCTTCGGAAATGTTTATTGATCTATAGTTTTGTTTGAGAATTAAATTGAAAGAGGAATAGATAGTTACTTAATTAAGGTTATTAAGATATAACAATTTGTAAACATAGGCTTCTATCGTACGCGAACTATTTTCAATAGCGCGGGCTTTTCGACAGGTTGCTATATATTGAATTATTGAAGAATTTCATATCATTTTCGTCGATGCTTGAGTGGTTACATTCTCTGTTTTGTTTTTAGCAAATAAATAGATTAGTAAATTGGAGTTTGAAGAATTATGCCTAAAGTCGCCTGACAATTAATCGAATGTACATGAATCAGTGTACCTAGTTGGCGGTAAAAGTACTGTTTGTTTGAAACTAAAAGAATATCTCTAAAAATATGTGCAATACTTTAACTATTCTAAGATTGAATTGCTGGGTCAATTTTAAGTTATGAAAAAAATTCTTATTGATTAGAAAATATGCGAGAAATCCTTGGAAATATAATTCATTAAATTTTAAAATCATAATGTAAGTGTACATGTATGTATAATGATTACTTGGTTATTTGAAATTTTACTCTTGACATTGACCATGTAAGAAAGTTCAGTTAAAAACATTTAAATTTAAAAGAAATTCAGAATTTTTTTTTCGAAGTGTACTATGAAATTATTTCTTGACATGTAAATTATATCTTTTGACTGAGTTGTCTTTTTAAGAAGCTGACATTTTAAAAAAAAGAGCAGCGAAAATTAATATACTTGTATTTAACCATTTCTTTATATAGTAAGAGTAATCTTGGACTGGTTTATATTCAAAATCAGATTTTTATGGAAATGCATGAACGTTGAATTTCCTTAGATTTAAACATTTTTTTTTTTTAAATTGGGATTTTTAAAAATATTTTCCAATGTTAGAGTTATAATGATGTATGTATGTAAATATTTTCAAGATTATTCTTACAGTTGTAATACTGGTAATGCTGAAATGTTTTTTATATATTACTCAAAATAAGTTAAATTTTGAATGTGTTGAAAGAAAAGGGTTTGAAAATACGGCATCGCTTCGATAACCCTGAATGCAATTTACATAACTTTCTCCTTTCTAATAAATAATTTCGAACAAAAACCTTATGATGGTAAATATTTTGTTTAATGGTGATTTAAATGAAGTTCAAAATTTAATTGTGTTCTTTGATAAAATGAAATAAACAATACAATTCTGTTTGGTTAATTTTTTTATTAAAAACTTTTTATTCAGATGACTGGGATAAAGATTTATGTTCTGTGAAGCATGGAATATGAAATAAATGAAAATATAATGATAGAAATTTCATGTAAATATGTACATTTACAATCATATTTTAAAATTATATTTATACCCATTGACCAATCAATTCAGCATAGAAAATTTTTATGCTTAAAATTCAGATGAAATTTTTAACTATGGGTCAATAGTATGTTTTGTGAACATTTTGTTTGAGACTTATCAACTTGGATTTATCTCGTGCTCCCAGAGCGCTTTACATTATATTGAGCATGTGCGCGCATTCCAATAAAAAGTGTCTTAAAAACACATGCAAGCTCTCAAGGGTGCTTGAAGATAAAAATTGTTCATGTAAATATATAATTAAAAAATACAACATAAAGAAATGTTCATTAGTCTTTATCTAAGTACAACCAATTATAATTTTTAGCTCACCTGAGCTGAAAGCTCAAGTGAGCTTTTCTGATCACTCGTTGTCCGTCGTCCGTCCGTCTGTCCGTCCGTCCGTCTGTAAACTTTTCACATTTTCAACTTCTTCTCAAGAACCACTGGGCCAATTTTAACCAAACTTGGTATAAAGTATCTTTGGGGGAAGGGGAGTTTAAATTGTTAAAATAAAGGGCCAAGTCCCCTTACAAGGGGAAATAATCAAGAAAAGACAAAAATAGGGTAGGGTCATAAAAAAATCTTCTTCTCAAGAACCACTGGGCCAGAAAAGCTGAAACTTATGTGGAAGCATCCTGGGATAGTGTAGATTCTAAATTGTTAAAATCATGACCCCCGGGGGTAGGGCGGGGCCACAATAGGAAATCCAAGTTTTACATTGAAATATATAGGAAAAATCTTGAAAAAATCTTCTTCTCAAGAACCACTGGGCCAGAAAAGCTGAAACTTATATGGAAGCATCCTGGGATAGTGTAGATTCTAAATTGTAAAAATCATGACCCCCGGGGGTAGGGCGGGGCCACAATAAGGAATACAAGTTTTACATTGAAATATATAGGAAAAATCTTGAAAAATCTTCTTCTCAAGAACCACTGAGCCAGAAAAGCTAAAACTTATGTGGAAGCATCCTGGGGTAGTGTAGATTCTAAATTGTTCAAATCATGACCCCTGGGGGTAGGGCGGGGCCACAATAGGAAATACAAGTTTTACATTGAAATATATAGGAAAAATCTTTAAAAATCTTCTTCTCAAGAACCACTGGGCCAGAAAAGCTGAAACTTATGTGGAAGCATCCTGGGGTAGTGTAGATTCTAAGTTGTTCAAATCATGACCCCTGGGGGTAGGGCGGGGCCACAATAGGGAATCCAAGTTTAACATTGAAATATATTGGAAAAATCTTGAAAAATCTTCTTCTCAAGAACCACTGGGCCAGAAAAGCTGAAACTTATGTGGAAGCATCCTGGGGTAGTGTAGATGCTAAATTGTTCAAATCATGACCCCCGGGGGTAGGGCATGGCCACAATAGGGAATCCAAGTTTTACATTGAAAAATATAGGAAAAATCTTCTTCTCAAGAACCACTGGGCCAGGAAAGCTGAAACTTATGTGGAAGCATCCTGGGGTAGTGTAGATGCTAAATTGTTCAAATCATGACCCCCGGGGATAGGGCGGGGCCACAATAGGGAATACAAGTTTTACATTGAAATATATAGGAAAAATCTTTAAAAATCTTCTTCTCAAGAACCACTGGGCTAGAAAAACTGAAACTTATGTGGAAGCATCCTGGGGTAGTGTAGATTCTAAATTGTTAAAATCATGACCCCCGGGGGTAGGGCGGGGCCACAATAGGGAATCCAAGTTTTACATTGAAATATATAGGAAAAGTCTTTAAAAATCTTCTTCTCAGACAAGAATCACTGAGCCAGAAAAGCTGAAACTTATGTGGAAGCATCCTCAAGTAGTGTACACTCTAAAATGTTCAAATCATGACCCCAGGGATGGGGGGGGGGGCACAATAGGGATTCCCAAGTTTTACATTGAAATATATAGGAAAAATCTTGAAAAATCTTCTCAAGAACCACTGGGCCAGAAAAACTGAAACTTATGTGGAAGCATCCTGGGGTAGTGTAGATTCTAAATTGTTCAAATCATGGCCCCTGGTGGTAGGATGGTGCCACAATAGGTATTACAAGGGGGGAAGTCTGGTAATGAACAGCATGGCCAAAGTTACTCAGGTGAGCAATGTGGCCCTTCGGCCTCTTGTTCAGAAATAGTTGGTTAGTCTTTGCTTTAAAACTTTCTGTTTAGAATGAAGAGCCACCTTGTACGAGCCATAAAGACCAGAATATATCATGATTTTCTCAGACAATGACCATTTTGGCCGAACCTGGAACTAGAACTAGACTCATATTCATGTCATAATAATTAGATCATTATCAATTTCGTGCAGCTGGTTTCCTAGAGGACAAGAAATAAAGAATATTTTTTTTATTAATTCAGGCATGTAGTATTATTTTTAGATGAAAAAATTTGAAAATTGTCCAAACCCAAGAATCCTATTCCATGAGAGAAGGGGTAGGGGTGGACTCCAAAACTTACGTGCACATTTTGATTTCTTTTAATACATTATCAAATTACCGTAATTTTAATATGCTACAAAAAATGAAGGTTACAATCTAATTAGAAGTAGACCATTCATTTTGCTTTTAGAAAATCTTTTAGTCGCTCGTGACAAATACCCGGTAAATATTAAGAAGAGTGAGATGAAAGGTCCAATTTAAATTTGATTGCGAAGAGTCAATCAACTTTTCAATGTACATTTTCTATTGTACATTTTTCATTGTAAAAGTTAATGTTTGAAATATCATAATGGTGACACCGCTAGCTCCCCCCGATACTATGTGCCTGTATTAGTCAGCAAAATCACTCAAAGTGCACTGTCACCATGCATACCCATTGTGAGCTTAATGTTCAGAAAGGTATAAATGTATTTTTATTAGCTCACCTGAGCCAAAGGCTCAAGTGAGCTTTTCTGATCAAAATTTGTCCGTTGTCTGTTGTCGTTGTTGTTGTAAACTTTTCACATTTTCATCTTCTTCTCAAGAACCACTGGGCCAATTTCAACCAAACTTGCCACAAAGTATCCTTGGGTGAAGGGGATTCAAGTTTGTTCAAATGAAGGGCCACGCCCTCTTTCAAGGGGAGATAATTAAGAATTAGTGAAAAAATAAATGCATCGTTTAAAAATCTTCTTCTCAAGAACCATAGGGCCAGGAAAGGTGAAACTCATGTGGAAGCATCTTCAGGTAGTGTACATTCAAGTTTGTTCAAATCATGACCCCCGGGGGTAGGGCAGGGCCACAATTGAGGATCAAAGTTTTACATAGAAATATATAGGAAAAACCTTTAAAAATCTTCTTCTCAAGAACAGCAAAGCCATGATGAGTCATATTTATATGGAAGCATCCTCGGGTAGCGTAGATTCAAGTTTGTTCAAACCATGACCCCCGGGGGTAGGGCGGGGCCACAATGGAGGATCAAAGTTTTACATAGAAATATATAAGAAAAGTCTTTAAAAATCTCCTTCTCAAGAACAGCAAAGTCATGATGAGTCATATTTATATGGAAGCATCCTCAGGTAGTGTTCATTCAAGTTTGTTCAAACCATGACCCCTGGGGGTAGGGCGTGGCCACAATGGAGGATCAAAGTTTTACATAGAAATATATAGGAACAAGATGTGTTTGTGAAACACTATGCACCCGGCAGCAACAAAGTTCGAAAAAGCTATTTTTAGCATAGAGGTCACAGTCAAGGTCACAAGGTCATTGACCTTGGTGTCATTTGAAAGAACTTAATTAGTGGAGTAAGCATATTAAATATGAAGTCTCTATCTCTCATGGTTCAAAAGTTATGGCGAAGGTTAAAGTTGACAACAGACAGACAAACAGACAGACAGGACAAAAACAATATGCGCCCCCGATCTATCGATCCGGGCGCATAAAAATCTTTAAAAATCTTCTTCTCAAGCACAGAAAAGCCATGATGAGTCATATTTATATGGAAGCATCCTCAGGTAGTGTAGATTCAAGTTTGTTCAAACCATGACCCCCGGTAGGGCGGGGCCACAATGGAGAATCAAAGTTTTACATAGAAATATATAGGAAAAATCTTCTTCTCAGGAACAGCAAAGCCCAGATTGTTCATATTTATATGGAAGCATCCTCAGGTAGGGTAGATTCAAATTTATTCAGATCATGACCCCTGGGGGTAGGATGGGGCCACAATGGAGGATCAAAGTTTTACATAGAAATGTATAGGAAAAATTTTTAAAATCTTCTTCTCAGGAACAGCAAAGCCCTGATTGATCATATTTATGTGGAAGCATCCTCAGGTAGTGTAGATTCTGTTTTGTTCAAATCATGACCCCCGTGGGTAGGATGGGGCCACAATGGAGGATCAAAGTCTTAAATAGAAATATATAGGAAAATATCTTCTTCTGAAGAACTGCAAACCATGATTAGTCATTTTGATATGGAAGCATCCTCAGGTAGTGTAGATAAAATTTTGTTCAAATGATGACCCCCAGGGGTTGGGTGGGGCCCATTGGGGGATCGAAAGTTTTACATAAGAACATATAGAAAAAATATTTCTTCTCAAGAACGGGAAAGCTATATTTAGTCATATTGATATGGAAGCATATCCCCCCCCCCCCCCCCCCCCCCCGGGTAATCTTTTCAATACTGAATTGATTTGTGCTTTTGCCTAGCCAATGTGCTCAGGTGAGTGATGTGGCCCATGGGCCTCTTGTTACAATTATGACCACCTAAGTCCTATCCAGGGGTCTAAACGTTGGGTTCTGGAACGTTAATTTTAATTATTGGTAGATGGGTTATTATTAATCATAATCATACAAACTCTGAAAGATTTTCAAATATGTACAAATTTCGGATTAGACAATATACTAGAGCAATAAGCGAGTTTCGAGATTGTAACATTCCTTCTACAGAGGCGCAAAAAGTATCCTTATCAGCATGGAAGTGGGACAGGTTGTTCATGTATACAAACGTGCATAAATACATGAACGATGACTATGGCTTTTAATATTCATTTAATGTTATAGAAAGATGATAATGCTGGACGATGATAATTTTGATAGTTTTTTAAAACTCTACTTTACATATTTACAAAGTTTACTTTCAATTAGGACTCTTGAAAACGCCAAGAATCGTCATAATTAGAAAAAATAATTCTTTGATTGTATAAACATTTTCTAAAAAGTTATTGGGCCCTTTGGAGTTATTATAAGAGAAAAGGTTTTTCAGAATTTCGACGTACAATGATCAGATGCGTGTGTTTCTATTCAAATTTAGAGATCTATATTTCTTTCCTCGTTTGATAAGTTCTTATCCGTTGGTATTTTTCTTTGTTCCAATTTTTATTTTCTTTTGTTCCGATTTTTTGTTTGTACCTCTTCTTTAATTTGGTAATTTTCGAGTCGAAGAATATATCTAAACAATCAGTTATAATGGTATATCGATGATGTAATGTATCCAATATAAGTAATTGTACCAGCTGCCTGCTTTAGCGGAAACAAAACTCCCCTTTGTAACGAAAGAGCGAACCAAGGGAGATAATATCGAAACTTGCGTATTAAAGCCCGGCTTTCAGTACTTTGATTGGTATTGTTATAGTCAAAATACTTAGATGAATAATAATATAAAACAGCTTTAACATTGCAATTTTGAAAGTAAAAAAATGGAAATTTTTAAAAATGTAAATCTTATTAATCTAGTTATTAAATTTCTCAGAGATCAATTATAATTTTTTTTTTTTTTTTTTTTTTTTTTTTTTGTGAACTACCAAATACAGTTTTAGTACTTTAATTGGGTTTTGTGATTGAATCAAGACATTTATTTTGAAAAATGTACTTTTTCATTATTAGATGAACAGAATAAACAGTAAAACATGCTTATAATAAAATGCCATGGACACACAATTTTACTGTAATCTGTTATATGCGTAATGCATTACGTCTTATAAGTTCTTATTAAATACATTATGAAACGGTAGGGAATTAAAATCAATTCACTATAAGTGCATGTTCACTGTTACTGTGTTTTAATACTTTGTTGTTTTTGTGTGTGTGTGTGTGTCACTGTGTAAATACCTGTATTATTATAAATTAAGAATTGATTAATGTTATTATACTCCTCACAATGAAGTTACATTGTAAGTGTAAAGAGGCTTAACTGGAATCCTTAAATTTTTCACAATGAAACAAGCCATTTTAAGTTCTCATTAAATTGAAATGTGTCACTCAGTGCTGCTAATGATAGCTCTGCTAGGTAGTTGATAAATGTAACAAATGCTAAATATAGATTGTACCACTTTAGAGTGAATGGTCATCCAGAAGTAAATGGAGAAAATGGTCGAAATTCAAATCCAGCTGAATCCTCATCAAAATCAGAACCTGTGAAGGAAGCTGAACCATCTACGTCTGGTAAATGTCGCAATCAAAGGTTTATTACAATTCATCAATTACAGAAAATATATTGAATACAGAAATAAGTCATCAAGATCAGTCTGCTTTTAGCTCACCTGAGCTGAAAGCTCAAGCGAGCTTTTCTGATCACATTTTGTTTCTAGTTTGTCTGTCCATTCATCTGTCCATCTGTGAACTTTTCACATTTTTGACTTCTGCTTCAGAACCACTGGACTTATTTCATCCAAACTTACCACAAAGCATCCTTGGGTGAAGGGGATTCAAGTTTGTTCAAATGAAGGACCATGCCATCTTCCAAGGGTAGATAATTCAGAAGTAGTGAAAATTTGGTGGCATTTTTTTAAAATCTTCTTTAGAACCATGGGGCCAAAAAGTTGAAACTTATGGAAACCTTCTTTACATAGTGTAGATTCAAATTTGTTCAAGTCTTGACCCCTGGGGGTAGGATAGGGCCACAATGTGCCATCAAAGTTATACATAGGAATGTATAGGAAAAAATCTTGAAATATCTTCTGCTCAAGAACAGCAAAGCCATTAGTTATATTGATATGGAAGCATCCTCAGGTAGTGTAAATTCAAGTTTGTTCCCCCCCCCCCCCCCATGTAAACTTTTCAATGCTGAATTGATTTGTGCTTTTTCCTAGCCATTATGCTCAGGTGAGTGATGTGGCCCATGGGCCTCTTGTTGAGACAAGTACATATGTTGTATTGCATTCTCAGATTGACGTAAAATGAATAGAAATAGGATAAAGTGATTTGCTAAATACGTATGTGCTAAGATTACAAAGTTGTGGAGAAAATTTTATTAGTGTTCATTGACAAAATCTGTACAAAAAATTGCAAGTCATGTAAGAAAATCATGTTGAGAATTGGTAAGGCAATATTTTTCCAGCATGTGCATCGCATTGACCTGTGTTTCTTTTTTGTCCTCCACTTTTAAAAACATTAATCTTAATTAAATAAGACAAAGAGATTTTCTTTCTGGACAAAATTTACCCATTAAATCAAATAAGATGAAAAATAGTCACATCTCTTTTGTACTGTGAATTTCATAAAAGTATGTTAACCCCTGAGATGAAGTTTTAATAAAAGTTGTTTTTTGGTAGATATTTAAAACATTTAAACTTTCAATTTGTGCACACTTAACCTACATGTATTAATAAAAATTGCAAAATAATTTTGCTGCAGTTACTTTTATTGATAGCTCCATTACTACTGGACTACAATATGCATAGGAGCTGACTGACAGCAAACTCAATTCATTTACAAAGAGAGATGTTGTTTCCTTTTTCAGATCATGCAATTTATGAAAATAGTGAATTAGAAAAAGATGTTCTAGAAAAAGGCTCCAGGGTTGAGAACAAAGACGAAACAGAAACTGGCAAAGCAGAGGAGACAACGCAAGCAACATTACCCAATCAGGTGAGAGAACACAAAATGTATCACCCAGTCAGGTGAGAGAACACAAAATGTATCACCCAATCAGGTGAGAGAACACAAAATGTATCACCCAATCAGGTATCTGACTACAAGTAAAACATTAAATGTTTTACATTCCCACAGAGCATTCTATCTTGTTTTTAGCCCTATCTTGAGAAAGTTTGAAAGTGTGACCACTCAAGACAGGTTGCCTGTTATTCCAGGTGGCTGCTAAGACAGTTTAATTGTATTTATTGATATTATGTATCAATTGCAGTTGTCTATTTGGCTGATGATCTGTTTGTCTGCAAAAAACTTTAACCTAGCTTGGCCATAACTTTTGAATGGTTGTTGCTAGGGCTTTTATAATATACATGTGTAATCTATGTGACCAGACCTTTCTTTGGGTACCAACATTTTTTATCTTGTGACTTTGACCTTCGAGTTTAACGTACTTTTGAAAAACTTTAATCTTGGCCAAAACTTTTGAACCGTTGAAGCTAGGGCTTTCATATATCACATGTGTATTCCATTTGACAAGACCTTTTTGTAGATAACAACATTTTTGACTCATAACCTTAAATTTCTGTGCATGTCAAAAGTCAGACAATTGAAAGTATTCTGTAGTGAAGACAAAATGCAGCTAATTTGTTTGGGGTTTTCATGATTTATGAATAGAGGTTTAAAATTTCATCTCAATGAAAGAATCAGTGGCAGGAAAGAGAATGAAAATTTTTAACTTATGTGAAAATTAATGCATTATGGTTAAATTAACATAATTTTAGAGAGAAGGCACATTCTTTGAAATATTCCTTTAAAAACAACTGCCTTAATGAGTGTTTTGTATCGATTTTGAAATTCAGACATTGCAGAAATAACCCACAAATGCTAATGTCAAAGGTCTGTCCTATAGATTTGCCAAATTACTTGTACATTGAAATTTACAATAATAAAAACTGTAGATGTCACCATTACTTTAATAGGCAACTGAGAACAAAGTTAATGGAGACCTGGATGAAACCACCTCACAGAATTCTGAAGACTCTGCCCCCTCTTACCCCCCTCCTGTCCCTCCCCCTGAGGAGGCTGCCCAAGAACCTGTAACACCACAGAAGCAGGAAACACCCTCCCCGGCAGTATCTCCATCCTACGAGACACCTCCCAGTAAAATGCCTGAGGCAAAAGAGGAGATAACTGAGGAGGGGAAGGAGGAGCATGAGGACAGTAACCTGTATGAGGTGCCTACTTCAAACAAACCGGTGGAGCTACCAGAAGGTGTTCTGTATCAGGTAAGATACTCATGACATTGTCTTTGTGAAGGTTACTGTGTACAGGGAAATTTTCATTCCTGTTTTATTTTCGCCCCTTTCGCCCTACTCACAGGTGGGCAAATTCAAGACGGGGCGAATTCAAAAAAACACAGTATAATTTCTTAAACAGAACTGTGACTGGGTGAATTTAAAACAGGGCAAAATTGCTTGCAAGTGTGAAAGGGCGAAAGTAACATGGGTCGAAAATAACCCTGTTTACAGTAATTACACAAAAGTGTGCTTATCAGTCTTTTGGTACGTATTTCACTTTTAGAAGCCTTTTGTAGAAGGCCTTTTTAAGTTCAATAGAGGAATTCTCTTGTGTTACACAAACTGCTTGTCACATAAGACCAGCTATTGGTTTAAAATATCTAAAATTTCATTTTACAAATTCAAGAAGTGCAATATCGATTAAGAATATATAAATAATAACTAAGCATTAATTATAGCCATTTACTTGCTTATACATATATTGTAGCATTTGATTCATATTGTTATTTCATCGCTCACCTTGTTCATTTTCTAGAAACATTAACTCACAAGGTTATTGGAATTAAGATTTTTGTTAACATTTAATTAAAAAGAGGATATTGTCAGTATAAGTCTTGGCGGATTGTTGTTTATTTCTGCCATATGACACAGATCCAACTGATTTTCTGTTTTTCTTCTTGGAACGTTCATGATGCAGAATTTCCCCTTGATTTCACATACCTAACCTCTTTATAAAAAAATAACCTTTTGGCAGTTGTGCATTAACAGAATTGAGCATGTGTGCAAAAATGTGTCCATTGAAATGTATCCATGTACTGTAAATTACTTTTAATTTGAGAGAACCTTATTTCCGTATAATTATACAAGACCATCCACCCTGTGGTACTTGCAAAAATTTTATTCTGATGTATATTTTTGTATTATTCAAGGTTATATATAACATGAATTCATTAAGATTTTGTTTCACTTATCAACATCAAATAACTATCTCATGAAATAAGGTGTCAGTAAAATTTGGTGATCTCAGTAATAGGTATGTGAGATATGCTGATTGTATCTGACTTTTTGATGCATGCCTCACACCCCCAACAGAAAGGAATACATAAGAGATCAGTGTTTCTTATACCCCAGCTCTGAAGGAGAGGGGGGTTTACTGTTTTACACTTGTGTGTCTGTCTGTCTGTGTGGCCGTGTGTCTGTCCGTAACAAATTTTCGTCGCAGTTTTCTCTGCAACTACTCATCACAGATCTTGAAATTTTAGCACAATCTTTGTTTAGGCATGCCATATGGTGGGAGACATTTTTGTTTGGATCCGACATCACCTTCCTGTTTATCCATGCATCTGTCTATACCAAAATTCTGTCACAGTTTTTTCAGCAACTACTCAGCGCAGATGCTTGAAATTTTAGCACAATCTTTGTTTAGGCATGCCATATGGTGGGAGACATTTTTGTTCGAATCCGATGTCATCTTCCTGTTTATCCGTGCGTCTGTCTTTAACAAATTTTCGTCGCAGTTTTCTCAGCAACTACTGCGTCTGTCCGTACCAAATTTCTGTCACAGTTTTCTCAGCAACTTCTCAGTGCAGATGCTTGAAATTTTAGCACAATCTTTGTTTAGGCTTGCCATATGGCGGGATTCATTTTTAGCTCACCTGAGCTGAAAGCTCAAGTGAGCTTTTCTGATCACCCGTTGTCCGTCGTCTGTCTGTCCGTCCGCCTGTAAACTTTTCACATTTTCGACTTCTTCTCAAGAACCACTGAGCCAATTTTATCCAAACTTGGTACAAAGCAACCTTGGGTGAAGGGGAGTATAATTTGTTAAAAAAAAAAGGGCCAAGTCCCCTTCAAAGGGGAGATAATCAAGAAAAGACAAAAATAGGGTGGGGTCATTAAAAAATCTTCTTCTCAAGAACCACTGGGTCAGAAAAGCTGAAACTTATCTGGAAGCATCCTAAGGTAGTGTAGATTCTAAATTGTTCAAATCATGACCCCCGGGGGTAGGGCGGGGTCACAATAGGGAATCCAAGTTTTACATTGAAATATGTAGTAAAAATCTTTAAAAATCTTCTTCTCAAGAACCACTGGGCCAGATAAGCTAAAACCTACTTGGAAGCATGCTGGGGAAGTATAGATTCTAAATTGTTCAAATCATGACCCCTGGGGGTAGGGCGGGGCCACAATAGGGAATCCAAGTTTTACATTGAAATATATAGGAAAAATCTTTAAAAATCTTCTTCTCAAGAACCACTGGGCCAGATAAGCTGAAACTTACTTGGAAGCATCCTGGGGTAGTGTAGATTCCAATTGTTCAAATCATGACCCCTGGGGATAGGGCGGGGCCACAATAAGTACTATGGGGGGGGGGGAAATCAGGTGAAAAACAGCAAGGCCAAAGTTACTCAGGTGAGCGCTGTGGCCCATGGGCCTCTTGAATGAATTTGATGTCAACATGAGAGTGTATATTCATATCAGAGCAGGGGTATTACTAGTAAGCATTCGCTCACAGACTTCTTGTATTTTCCGTGCATTTCTAGGAACAGGCTGAACACCTCAACACAAACTATAAATATATAAGACGTTATTATTTTATACCCTTTAGACACAGACACTTCCAAAAATAGATACATGAGAAATATGATCTTTTTTTCTTGTGTCTCTTTATTAGGTGCAGGCTACTCATCCTTACACAAATGAGGACGAAGATGAATTGTCATTTGAGGCAGGGGAGATTATATACGTTATTCCATTTGAGAACCCTGATGATCAGGCAAGTCTCTGTACATACTATTGATAAATTTCTGTCCTCTTTTTAATTTAAAGAGGATTAAAATTTAAAAATTGAAAAATTAAAGTGGATCAATTTTAACAAGATCATAATTATGTGTCTGAGCAAAAAAAAAATATAGGCAAAAACTCTCTTATTCAAATAAAGTAAAACATGTTTAAATGGATATACTTATAACAAAAGTCTGCTAATTACAATGTCAGATTTTTTCACTTATTAATTTACAATATGTCAAAGAAAAGTTAAGTGAACATTTCAGATGCAAGTCTAACTCAAGCTGCCTTATTTGTATACTCACTTCTGATTGAAGTTGAAGTAACCAAAAAATGCAATTTAATTGTTTGTTTTCCTTCTTTTTTTTTTAAGTCAAGAATTCATGCTTAATGTTGTATATTTTGTGCTACAAATATACTTAATCCTATCAAATTGTGTTATAATCTCACTGGTTTGTGTTTATCATAACTTAACATGCTAAAAAAATTTTACAGGTATTGTAGCACTTAGTGCTGAAATTTGTTGATTAATGCTTTTTTGTCTACGCATTTCACATTTTTTTTTAGCTCACCTGAGCCGAAGGCTCAAGTGAGCTTTTCTGATCACATTTTGTCCGTCGTCCGTCCGTCCGTCTGTCCGTCTGTCTGTCCGTCTGTCTGTCTGTCTGTCTGTCCGTCTGTAAACTTTTCACATTTTTGACTTCTTCTCAAGAACCACTGGGCCAATTTTGACCAAACTTTGTACAAAGCATCCTTGGGTGAAGGGGAATTTAAATTGTTAAAATGAAGGGCCAAGTCCCCTCCCAAGGGGAGATAATCAAGAAAAGACAAAAATAGGGTGGGGTCATTAAAAAATCTTCTTCTCAAGAACCACAGGGCCAGTAAAGCTGAAACTTATATGGAAGTATCTTGGGGTAGTGTAGATTCTAAATTGTTCAAATCATGACCCCCGGGGGTAGGGCGGGGCCACAATAGGGAATCCAAGTTTTACATTGAAATATATAGGAAAAATCTTTAAAAATCTTCTTCTCAAGAACCACTGGGCTAGAAAAGCTGAAACTTATGTGAAAGCATCCTGGGGTAGTGTAGATTCTGAATTGTTCAAATCATGACCCCCGGGGGTAGGGCGGGGCCACAATAGGGAATCCAAGTTTTACATTGAAATATATAGGAAAAATCTTTAAAAATCTTCTTCTCAAGAACCACTGGACCAGAAAAGCTGAAACTTATGTGGAAACATCCTGGGGTAGTGTAGATTCTAAATTGTTCAAATCATGACCCCCGGGGGTAGGGCGGGGCTACAATAGGGAATCCAAGTTTTACATTGAAATATATAGGAAAAATCTTTAAAAATCCTCTTCTCAAGAACCACTGGACCAGAAAAGCTGAAACTTATGTGGAAGCATCCTGGGGTAGTGTAGATTCTAAATTGTTCAAATCATGACCCCCGGGGGTAGGGCGGGGCCACAATAGGGGGAATCCCAAGTTTTACATTGAAATATATAGGAAAAATCTTTAAAAATCTTCTTCTCAAGAACCACTGGACCAGAAAAGCTGAAACTTATGTGGAAGCATTCTGGGGTAGTGTAGATTCTAAATTGTTCAAATCATGACCCAGGGGTAGGGCGGGGCCACAATAGGGGGAATCCCAAGTTTTACATTGAAATATATAGGAAAAATCTTTAAAAATCTTCTTCTCAAGAACCACTGGACCAGAAAAGCTGAAACTTATGTGGAAGCATCCTGGGGTAGTGTAGATTCTGAATTGTTCAAATCATGACCCCCGCGGATAGGGCTGGGCCACAATAGGAAATACAAGTTTTACACTGAAATATACAGGAATAATCTTTAAAAATCTTCTTCTCAAGAACCACTGGGCCAGAAAAGCTGAAACTTATGTGGAAGCATCCTGGGGTAGTGTAGATTCTAAATTGTTCAAATCATGACCCCCGGGGGTAGGGCGGGGCCACAATAGGAAATACAAGTTTTACATTGAAATATATAGGAAAAATCTTTAAAAATCTTCTTCTCAAGAACCACTGGGCCAGAAAAGCTGAAACTTATCTGGAAGCATCCTGGGGTAGTGTAGATTCTGAATTGTTCAAATCATGACCCCCCGGATAGGGCTGGGCCACAATAGGAAATACAAGTTTTACACTGAAATATATAGGAAAAATCTTGAAAAATCTTCTTCTCAAGAACCACTGGGCCAGAAAAGCTGAAACTTATGTGGAAGCATCCTTGGGTAGTGTAGATTCTAAATTGTTCAAATCATGACCCCCGGGGGTAGGGCGGGGCCACAATAGGAAATACAAGTTTTACATTGAAATATATAGGAAAAATCTTTAAAAATCTTCTTCTCAAGAACCACTGGGCCAGAAAAGCTGAAACTTATGTGGAAGCATCCTCAAGTAGTGTACACTCTAAATTGTTCAAATCATGACCCAGGGGTAGGGCGGGGCCACAATAGGGAGAATCCCAAGTTTTACATTGAAATATATAGGAAAAATCTTTAAAAATCTTCTCAAGAACCACTGGACCAGAAAAACTGAAACTTATGTGGAAGCATCCTGGGGTAGTGTAGATTCTAAATTGTTCAAATCATGGCCCCTTGGGGGAGGGTGGGGCCACAATAGGTATTACAAGGGGGGAGTCTGGTAATGAACAGCATGGCCAAAGTTACTCAGGTGAGCAATGTGGCCCATGGGCCTCTTGTTTTGCAAGGAGAAGCTATTCTAAGTGTGAAAGTTAAAGAAAAGTAGATATTTTTATGTCAATCCCAGTGTGTATATTGTTACAGTTTTATATGGAAACCTATCGGAACTTTACAGATATTCAAGGAAAGATGTGAAAATAATGTCTATACTACTAAAATATCATATTCTAAAATTTAACTCATGGGCAAACATTACGGATAGTTTTGTCATACAATTTTTTTTAGATGGAGATTCATTCGAGTAAATTGCTTTATTTTTTATTTTTTCAAACAGACCTGATTTTGCAAAATGTTAAAAAAAATTTCTCAATTTTCATTTGCTGGTTTCTGATGCAATTCCTTCAGGCACAAAAGGGCTATCAAAAGCAGGGGTTCTCAATATTTTGATTCTGGTTTTATCTGAAAATTGACGCTATCTAAAAATGCTGCATCTGAATGTTGCATATCACAAAAAGGAAAATGGGTGACTGGAAGCAGGTGTACAACAGTCTATAATTGCAAGAGGTTTTAATGTTACACACAGTACCATATTTAACCTATAAAACATATACCATTAACATGGAACACCCAATGTTCGCCAAAAATATGGCAGACCACGCGTGACATCAGCACCAGAGGATCGCTTTAGTGGTTTATGTTATTTTCATGAATGTTTCACAGTGACGTCATCTACAGCATTAGCTATCCCTGAACTGCACAGCACATCTAACAAGACCATTTGCAGTTGATTACTGAAATCTGGAATTATTGCTAGAGGATTAATTATGCCTTTGTTCTGACCCCACAACACCTCAGATATCAACTTCAAAGATCTCAGATTAACAGAGTATGGCCACAGCAACACCACTGAACATTTTGGTTTAGCTACTAGTCCAGAATGTTTATTGCAAAGCCTGTTGTAAGTTTAAGAGTGCATAAGCTTCGTAATGAACGTTTAACAGAAAACTGCCTCCAGGATGTTGATAGATTAAATAATAGATAAATTAAATAAAAAAGGGACCAAAATAACTTATTAAATCTTCCTCAAAGACCAAAATAGGCCAATGTGAGAGGTAATAAAATGGAGTTAAGAATTGTTTTGAAGCACTAAAATTTTGTTAATAGTCTGCATGGTAATAGTAAAAACTTCTATAGTGAATTACAGGCATCCAGCTTTCTATTAGAAAAGTACGATGCTCCAGCTTAGATTTGTCGTTGAAATTGCATGGAATTATTGTGTCACCTGCAGAGCAGAGCGACACTTTGGGATCACTTTTCACGTTGTCTGTACATCTATGTGTGTCTGTCTGTCTGTCACACCTTATATCTCGAGAACAGTAATATGTATGGATTTGTTATTTTGTATATATATTGCATGGTACTATTACTTTTGTAAAATGCCATGGTTACTGACCTTTTAACCTTTGAACTTGACCTTTGACCTACTTTTCAAAATAGTTCAGAGACTGAGAGTGCCAATATACAGCATTGTTTTGACATTTAAGAGGTAAATCTATGCTATTTAGCATGTACATTATTTGTCATAAAACATTTTGAAATATACCAGTGTTACAGTCCACTTGACCTTGACCTTTGACCTACTTTGCAAAAAATACTCCGAACGGTTTAGTTTATGTATTTTGAATTTTTGAGAGTCAGAGTTTTTAATAATTAGCATTTATACATGTTTATGAGCTCATTATACTGTACTATTGAAACTGTATACATGATATACAGATATCACACAAACTGAAATTTAGTGTTTTAGCTTTGAGGGTTGGGGAATCATATTTGTATTTCATTATGAGATTCTATCACCAGTGAAATGGCTCCCATTTCACTTTTGATACTTATTTTAATATATTTAATGATTTTGCTTAATAATTTTCATATCAAAATAAATGAATTTATAAATGATATGAAAATTATTAAGTAAAATCATTAAATATATTAAAATAAGTACATGTATCAAAAGTGAAATGGGAGCCATACATCAAAGGATGACACTTGAGTAGACTATTGTTCAGATTACTTAGTTGACAAGTTTCAGCCTTTGGCTATTTTTACATTGAGTAATTCCTTACAATTAATTAAAAATATATATTGGAGAGTTCAGAGAGTTAAGAGAAATCTAGAATGACAGAGTTAGTGAGTTGATGTGTTAAAAACCATGTAGGCCAAGTTTATCAAAATTTTAGTTAGGACCAAGACTTGCATCTTTGTGTTTTTATGTTGTTGGAATTTACAATTACTTCAATAAACATTGTTATGCTACAAATTTGGACTTGCGTGTTTCCTAACATTCCCAAAACCCTTGAGCTTAATTCCCCAAATGAACGTGCGCCGCCAAATTATGTACCAGGCATCCGAGAGCGCAGTAACAATTCTTTCACAGACTTGCTATCCGTGGATGATTTTTTTTTTCATGAAAATGCATGAACTCTAATGTAGTAGCAGGTAAATAGCAGAACACTCTTAGATGTAATATACATCTTTCATGAAGCTAAAAAGCAGGCAACACATGCATTTCTTGGAACACTCTAATTATTATCATAGTTTGTGGCACTTTCCTGGAACAGGTTAATTTGTAGCAGTGTTGATATTCTCTGTATTAAATATTTCAGGATGAAGGTTGGGTGATGGGACAGAAAAAGTCAGATGGATCTAAAGGAGTCTTTCCTTTAAATTTCTCCAAGAAGCTTTAGCCATGCCATTGATGGAAATTCCGGTCATTATTTCAGCATTCCAGTGGAACAAAGTCAAAGGATCTGGTCAGAGGTGATGATTATTGGCTCTGTTTATTGACTTTTGAAATGTTGATCTTAATGGAAAACAGCATCAGATTACTATAACATTGTCCATGCTTTGTGAAAGTGTTATTTTAAAATGGCACAGAGTATTTTTTCAACAAAATCCCTGCTACATTCATGGTATTTTATTTTTATATTTGAATAAGTGCTTCAATATTTTCCTATTAGTACATGTAGTTGTAGACTAGTAACCTTATGAGATTATGTCTAAGGACATACCTGTACATTATAAATTTCTTTGAGTGTTTAAAGGGAAAAGACAAATGTAGATTTTTAATTTTCAAAAGTTTAAAAATAAAAATTTATTATTCTGGGGAATTTTTAAAAGTTTAATTGAGATTGTGTATACCTGGTATAACTATATTTATAATATTCCTTCTTGATAAAATTGAAGTTCAACATACCGCTAGCCTGTAAATTCAAGATATACATTATAGTTAGACAGGTTTAAAAAACAAAAAAAGTTGTCTCAGCTACTAGTACTAGAACAATTTTTTAAGTAGATTTTGTTTTTGGATTATTTCTGAAATAATTTTGAAAAAATCATTCCATTTCAAGTTATGTTCATTTGATTCAGAATTTGCAATACAAATGTAATTATTTTTTTTAGTATGTACATATGTCCCCCATATGATAGGGGTATCAAATAACTGCCCTGTTTGTATTGTACTGTCAGTCTCTCCCTGTCCACAGAGATTTAAGTTTTTAGCATTTTTTTCCAAGTAATGCATCAAGTCAAGTCAATACCATCAAGCTTCCTATATACACAACTCTTGGCTGGAATTCAATATTTTAGATGGTGGGTTAGAAGCATGGTAGGGAATGGTAGCAACTAAAGTATACACATTCTCAAAATTGTTTGAAAGATTCATTTAAATGTGCTAAATAAATTAACATATTGATCTTAAGTAGTTTAGACAAACAAAAAAAATGAAATACTCATGTACATGTATCTAAACAATACCCACTGTAAAGAAATTTGAAATTATAATCTGGATGGGGTAATGTAAGTTGTATTATATGATAAAAGGAATTAACTAAATGCAGTAATTTGTTTTACTGTTTATGTTAGTAATATAAAAGTAGATGCATAATATGTTATTTTATCTATCAACCAAACATAATGAATATTCATGATGTATGAATTTACATTTTTTTTTTTACATTCCATGTACATTTTTATGTAACTTGTGCATGTATAAACTTTCTGATTGAAGTTTGTCCTTGTTTGGACGTCTTATGTCTGTGTATCTGTTGATTTTGTGTCATCACAAAATAAATTCCAGTCATTCTTGATACAAAACATCATTCTGTTTAAGGTTTTGTTGAGAAAATATGCCAATAGAAATAAGGTGTAGTACATCATAAACACTAATGGGTCTATATCAGACCCAGGTTACTTATATGAGCAGTGTGGAAAAAGGACATTTTTTTAATTGTAGAGGAAATTGTTTCTCTGATAATAAACCAGATACATTGTCATAATTCTTTTTATAGAATCGGTAAACCAACTCTTATTCACAAAAAAATAATTTATGCAGGTCATTGGTGCCATTGCTAAGATAAAATTTGTTTATATACATTACTTATTCCCATGAGAAATATGCAAATAACAGAAAATGATAAATTATGCATGAAAATAAAATTTGGTTTACAAACATGAATAATAATAATAATGGAAGATTGAAAGGTTACTAACTAACTGTTCTTAATAATTTTCCAGAAATGAATGTCTTGAATAAGGCAAGTCACATGTCAATTACTCAGGAATTGTATTGTACACAATTAGTCAAATAGTGTTATCATCAATTTTAAGACATAATGAACCTATTGTAAAATCATTTCAATTGTTTGGATCTTGAGACTGGATATTTTTTATGTTTGGTCAATTCCAGAGACCACCAGTTTCTGCTTACAAAGATTTTCATGTATATGGTAATCATTTATAAACGTGCTAGTATGTAACTTAAAATGTATCTGGAAAATTTAAAGGTTTGAGTTCCATATATTTTAATTGATATAAGTTAAAACTTTATATTAGTTGAACTGAGAGGCCTGCTGAGCTTTTCTGATTATGGATGTGTTTGACTTTGTTTACAGTTTGTCTGTCATCAGGTGTCTTTTAAATTAATGGTTTACAACTTCTCCAGAACCTTTGGACCAATCATTTCAAATCACACATGGTACAAAGTATCCATGACAAGAGTCCAGATCTCCTTCTAAGGGATACCGTTAATGTTTATTAAAAATGAAAAATAAAAACCTTAATTGTGGTTAGATGGAGAAAAAACTCTTCTTAACCATTCATGTAGGAAGTACAAAACTTAAGTAAAAGTTTTAATTCATATCCATTGTAGATTAGTTTGTTCAAAGCATCCCAGATTTAACTCAGGTGAGTGGTTAGGTCCTTGGGCCTCTTGTTCCAATTTTTAGATCTTTTCTGACTTATAAAGTGAAAAATATGTTTATTTTTGTATGACGTTTATTTAAAAAATTGTAACAAAACAGATAAAAGGTTTTGAAAGGAACTAAATAATACTAAATAGAGAGAAAAATGACTTTTAATCTTTTATATTCTAACTTATTGAAAATGCAAAGAACGGAATATTTTCACCCCTTTTGCCCTTGTCGGAAGTGGGCGAATTTAAAACAGGGCGAGTTCAAAGTTACCAGTATTATATTGTAAAGAAACTGTCTGGGTGAATTTAAAATGGGGTAAAATTGTTTGCAAACATGAAAGGGCAAAAATAACACTGGGCGAAAATAACCCTGTGTACAGTATATATTTTCTCGGTCCTTAAAACTTTTTCTTATATGAACATAAAGAATTCTAGTTATAAGGAACTAGAAAAGTTCATGTTCCAAGGACATCTTTATAAGCAAGCATCACTGTAAATGATTTGACATTTATGGAAGAAAACATGGTCATAAACACTAGCTAATTCAAATCAGAAAACGACTTTCAGGAACCGTATTTTTTTCCCATTAAATGTGTCGGAGATACATATTGCTCTTAAAACATAATGCTTAACAGATCTAGACATCAGGTTCTACATTCAACATACTATACATTTTAGGGTTGTTTGCAATATTGAATAACTTGATCTTGACCCTAAAAAATGAAAAGATTACTTGTTTTGTTAATTTTGTTAATTTCAATTATATGTATTGTTGTAAAGTGTTTCAGACTTTGGAACATAAGTGTTTTTAAGACTACATATGAAAACCTTTGGATTTAAATTCCTTTGAGTCATTCTAGATTTTTTATGATATAAAATTGTATTTTCTGTGGGTGATACTTTGTATTAGTAATCGTAAATGTTGGAAGTTTATTACATTTCCATATCAGGATTTCTTGCCGCTGTCTTGAAGGTTCTGATAATTACAAGTTTTAGTATAAGCCTAAAGCTGTTTTTCATGTAGAATTGCAGCAGAAAAGTTTTATGCAGGAAATTTAGGTAAAAGAAAGGTATGAAGTAGCAAAAATTAATCATAGCAAAGTAAAAGTTTATGTGCTACCTGATCCTTTTCTTCAGAAAAAAAATCTCAAGAAGTGATTCATGATTTAAATTTATGAATTTGTTCACAAACATATTGAGATAAAAAACGATGTTAATAGAACTGGGGGAAGTAGAGGGGGGACATTCAAACTGCCTATTACATACTGTATCGTGATTTCTCTACAGTGTAATTTTTTTGAGATTTTAAGGAGGGGGTCCTTTTACAACAATCATTCCATTGCTCCATTGCTTGAAACATTCCCATTCTGCAGATTTTTTTTTAAAGAATAACTGTATTTTGCAGTCACTGAAACAAGAAAGTATTAATTCTTTATTGTTTATTTTTTGATATTATAACTGATTCTACATCTGATTTTCTTCTCTGAGGATTTTTTTTAATCCCAAATGATTATATTTTTTCAATGTTGAACAGCAATTGTACAGTGTTTTTGTATATAATCACTAGATCAAAATGGAATCATGTGTACATGTATACACCTTTTAAATGCAATACCTTATTTTGTTTATAATACATAATGATATATATATTTTACTCAAAGTTATATATTTGCAATATATTCATATATATTTTGTTTGTTTTGCTTGTATTGGGGTGTATTCCCATATCTTGAATAAACAATGTTTAAATTTATAGTTTTCCCTCATTTTCCAACCCGTTTCTCTACATTTGCTGTGTGTAAGAATATTACACATCCAAGATACATAGTTTTATGTATTGTTTTTGAATGCTACATGAAAGCATTGCTATGATTTTTAAAAAGAGAAATTTCTGTGAACAGTAATGTACAGAAAGATACTATATATTTTTACTTATTGATATTTGATTTTGATAAACGATGTTGCAATGCATACTAACAAGAATTGAAATTTATGTGATTTTCTCTCAAAATGCTAATCCTGCTACATTTTTAACCCAATTTCAGTTTAAATTGCAACACAGGTAGACCTTTATTTGTGTTTTCGCGAAACTGAGTAGTCGCAGATAGATTTCAAATTGTCGAATCGTGAATATAATGATTGGTTTACAGCAAATGTCAATTACAAAAATTCAATGGATCGATTGTTTTGATGAACACGCAGTTCGTTTTACATTAAAGGGGCTTGGACAGATTTAAAGTTATTTTCTAAAAATCATGACTTATATGTTGCTAGAGCATTTTAAACCAAAGTATTATATATATATATATATATATATATATATATATATATATATATATATATATATATATATATATATATATTAACTTGCTGTGGTAAAATTTAAAAATTTACTTCAAAATTAAGAATTATCTCCCTCATGCATAGCTCTGATCGATCCTTCGACATATTTGGCTCCAGTCTTTGGCACCTATCTCTTCAAAGTCTTTTTATTTAAATATTTTGAATTTCCAACGTTTCGGCTTGAGCATTACTGATGACATAATTTGTTGAAATGCGCATCTGGTGCATCAAAATTTGTACCGTATGTGATTTACATATTAAGGTAGTGCAGATCAGTCATATTTATATGGACCCAAACATCCTGAGGTAGCACAGATTCAGATTTTTAGCTCACCTGAGCCGAAGGCTCAAGTGAGCTTTTCTGATCACATTTTGTCCGTCGTCCGTCTGTCTGTCTGTCTGTCTGTCCGTCCGTCTGTAAACTTTTCACATTTTTGACTTCTTCTCAAGAACCACTAGGCCAATTTTGACCAAACTTGGTACAAAGCATCCTTGGGTGAAGGGGAATTTAAATTGTTAAAATGAAGGGCCAAGTCCCCTCACAAGGGGAGATAATCAAGAAAAGACAAAAATTGGGTGGGGTCATTAAAAAATCTTCTTCTCAAGAACCACAGGGCCAGTAAAGCTGAAACTTATATGGAAGCATCCTGGGGTAGTGTAGATTCTAAATTGTTCAAATCATGACCCCCGGGGGTAGGGCGGGGCCACAATGTGGAATCAATGTTTTACATAGAAATATATAGGAAAAATCTTTAAAAATCTTCTTC